GGGGAACAATGCTGAAATTCATCTTTTGAGACACGGTGGGATCCAGTGGGGACATGGACACTGCCTCTCATAGCCCTGTCCTACACATTGATCTTCAGCTCTCAGCCCTTTTGAGGCTGCCTTTCTTTTGCAAATGTTGCTAAAATTTTGGCTTTCTTTTTAGGCTCAACACCCACGTATGTTTCTTTTAGGCTTTCATGTTACTGTTGTTTCATACACCATGTTTGATAAAATAAACCTAATCAAGAATTCATTTCCCTTCGTGCATTAAGACTTGGCACAATTGCATCTGATTGGAAAATTTGACTCAACTTACGATCTTGTAGGTAGACTTTATTAATTTAAGGTATTAATTCAAAATTTAATATGATGCAGATCAAAATTACTTAAACTTGATGGTTTAATTCGAAATAATTTTATTAAAATTAATTAATTTTTTAAAATTAAAATTTTGATTAATTATATTTCTAATTTTAACTTTTTAAGTACAAAATTAAATTAAATATTATAAAGTTATTATTACTTATTCGACTATTACAGTTAAAATTAATTTAATAGATTTTTTTGATAAATAGTTAAATAATATTAAATTCCTTTCAACAAGAATACAAAAAATTATTAAAAATTTTTAATTTTAATTTTATAAAAAGTTAACTCCACTTAATCAAATTCAAAACTAGTGTAGATAGTTTATAAGTTTATCATTTTAACTTAAAATCTAAAATTACTCAACTTGTAAAATTTAAAATATAAAATGACACAATATGAACTCACCAGATCCAAGCTGTATGCCAGGTCTACTTGCATTATTTTCTCTCGTACTCATTGCATGAATTCCAATATTTCTTGCGTGGATGGCTCATGGGGTTCTAAGGAAATTCAAATTGAAGTGGTCCTGATTTCCGTCATCATCATAATATGTTTGAATGTATGAAGTTTACAGCAGTTCAAAAACTGCATGATCGGTGGATTCAAACATGAACTGTTGCCATATTTTCTTCATATGCTGTATGAAAAAGAGTGTTTTGTTTTGCACTCTAAATTATAAAACAAATAATAATATGAGAGACACGTCTCAATATTAACAATTTGGCTTTCATTAAATAGATTAAATTATGTAATTCAGTGTAAATGTAAACAATGAACACTTTTTCTGGGTATAAAAAAACAGTAGTCTGGTCACCTCGTTGTTTCTTGTCCCTCCTTTTTTTTTTTTTCACTTTTGTGCATTGTCTTCAATCAAAACCACAGACAAACCCCAGTTGCTTCTTTTAATGCAATGCAAAAAGCCCACCATTGCAAAAGCATCAAAGGGGGTATAGCTTTCTAAGACAAGGAACTGGTAAAAAAACTGGACACCCTTTTAGGCCAACTAATATTATCTCTTCTAGTCAGGCATGACACCAATGTACCGTCAACGTTCTTGGAGTCTTACCTGCATTTTGAGATGTGGTTTTCCGGACTGTCGTTCTTCTTACTAGAAACCCGGATTTCTCATTTTTTGGTTTTAAATTAGATACAGCTAAGAACCCATTTGGCTTTTGAAAACCCTTGTCTTTGTGACTAGTGTCATTCCATCAGTGTGTCTTAGTGGGTACTAGTACCTTATAATCAGAGTTCATTCTGTGGGCAATTAATGCGGATTTTGGTGGTTTCCTTCATGATCTGTTCTTCTATGTTAAGTATCTTGTCAATATCTGATGGATGGCAATACTTGCTGCATTTAATGCCGTTTCAGTGAATTTTCAACTGTTGTCTATAGAGTACAAACTCATTCCCATACTGTGTCTACTCTCTGCCCGGAGCAAATTGGTGGGCTTCCATTTTCAAGTCATTCAATTCAAGTTCATGGAAGTAGAGTTTCAACACACCAGTGTTATTAGAGGGATCAGCAATTTCTATTAAGAA